GGAGGCCAGGAGGAAACCCCGCTTCTTGCCTTCATCGGTGATGTCGAAGAATTCAAGCGCTGACTCGGCGCCCTGGACCCAGGAGGCCCAGTCTTGCGGGCGGGCTGTGTCGAAGGGCGGTAGCAGCCCTAGCCCGGGAGCGGTAGCCATTGTGCGCGTCGGAGGGGGTGCGGGAGGAGCGGTCGAGTTGTTCGATGGTTCGCTCATCGGATCGGCTGCTTAGCGTCCTCCTGGTTCCTCGCGACGGCCCGGCTCAGATGCGGCTAGATCCCATCCTCGTCGCCACTATTGTGTAGTGGGAGCCGCATGGATCGACGACAGACAACGACATGGTGCATAGCACGCTTTATTAGGCACACAACAAGACAAAGACAAACGGCCGGCAGGCCAACTATATACACACCTGGGGACCACCCCTTGGTCACCATTGGTGGGTTTGAATCTCCCGCCATGGCTCCCATTGGTTCCCCAGTGGAGGGACTAGGATCCTAGTCCCCATTGTCTTCCCAAACTGAAGCTCGGGTATATGCCCTGACCTCCGGTGGTGGTCAGTGGACACTACAGAGCTGTCCATGTGAGAAGTAGTCCTCTGTTAAGTCAGTTCCTGCCACCTTCAGTGTCTGGCCTTGGGACTTGTTGATGGTCATAGGAAAGCAGACCTTGAAGGGGAACTGCAGCCTCTTGAACTTTGCCGCATTCCTAAATTGCCTCCTCCTGGTAGTGTTGGTGTATCTGGCTCAACATTTGCCAGGAGCTCTCTTGGGGGCAGTAAGAGGTGATAGGTGTGAGGGGGAGTTGGTCTGAGGGAGTGGTGATGTGGTGGACATTTCTTCAGGTTCATGAGGGAGGGACACAGCAAAATGGCTCCTGGAAAGGTCCTTAACTCTCTCCCCATGAACATTCATAAACTCAATTGCCATGCTGGCTGTTAAGAGAAATGTCTATTCAGGAGTCTTGAATCACTGATTTCTGTAACTGTCCTCAACTGTCTTCAGTTTATTTTAACTGTTTTTACCTCAGAACATTGAGACCCACAGCTGAGCAGTCAGAGGGAGGTGGGTGCAAGCAGGCAGGTTTTACCTCAGAACTCTGAGCTACACAGTTGAACAATCAGAGGGGGGGAGGCACAGGGGCAGCAGCCTGCCTGGCACATGGAAAACAATTGGGAACAGATTTTCCCCCTTTGTTTACCCCCTTAGGGGTCATGTTTCTCAGAAGTCACTTTGTAGTGGGGGTTGATGTCATGGTAGGAATGCACTCCCCTTATTTTGGGTTTCTTGGTGCAGGGGTTTGGCCTGGGCATTGAATTCTTTTTTGGGGGTGCAGGACATACCTCCCCCTTTTTAACAAAAATGCTTCCCATTTATGTTATATTTAAGAATTGGAACTTAACTGTGTATTCAAAACAACATCCAAGCAATCAGATATTAAGGAAGTTCATACGAACCACGTTCAGGTGTAGGAATTGGGGGCAGCATGTCTGAAGCCATCGGGGAGGCTGGGCCAGCAGCATTGCTGCACCTCACAGGCGGTTGGCCATTCCTGATTTCCTCAGTTGTCATTAGCTCTCTGCAGTCTCCTGTAACTGTTTTTTTTTAACCTCAGAACACTGAGCTCTGCAGCTGACCAATCAGAGAGTGGGGGGTGCAAGGAGGCAGCAGCCTGACAGCCACATAGGAAGCAATGGGGGGAGCACATTTTACCCCTTTTGACCCCCTTAGGGGTCAAAGTTCTAAAAATCCCTTCTTAGTGAGCATCTATATCATGGTAGGAGTGCTCTCCCCAAATTTGGTGTTTCTAAATCCAGGGGTTTGACCTGGGTGTTGATCTTATGATGAGGGGACTTTCTTTTATATATATAGACTAGAAATAATGCCCGTTGCGGAAATAAATTCAACGGGATCTAGAAAGAGGCTCTGGGAGAGTGCTCTGGCTTTGGGCAAACAGTGTCAGTTTCCTGTGGTGACCTCAGCAGGGTTTAATGACAGAGTCCACTGTTTTCTCCAGAGGGACTGATCTCTGCTACCTGAAGAGCATTTGTATGTTTGAGTTATCTGTAGCCCTCACCTGGAGAGTGGTAACCATTGTTACCCATTCTCCTCTCCCCTATGAGGTATGTTATGCACAACTGCCTTGCGGGGGGGGGGGGGGGTTTGGGGGGGGGAATGGCCTGAAGTCCAATCAGCTTCCATATGCAAAATACCAGGTTGTCGCAGCAGTTGTGGTGTGGGCGGGACCCGGGCTTTGCCTTCTGATTGGTGGCGATATATGCTGAGGAGCAGTGCCATCAGCCATACACTAAGGGAGTGCATTTTAGAATTAGAACTTTGGCACCCACTATTCAATTATATATAAGGAGAGATGCATGGCAACAGCCAGCCAAGTAATTTCTTTTGTTATGATATTCAGTTTAGATCAGGGTCATATGGGGTGGGGGCAGATGGAATCTTTGTCTGGGGTCCCATGGTGGCTCTCAGCAGCCTAATGCTATAGAATTGTCCAAGAGCTTTCAAATGGAGCTACTCTTTCATAAGAGTGAAGAAGATTATTTCTCATTAATTTAGTTTTATGCTGTTAATTTTACTATTTTAATATGTTCTCTGTTTCAGAGTCCTTGACTAGAATAATGGGGTATAATTTTTTATTAATAAATAGGACTGCAACCTTAGGCTTTTAAAGCAAAATGACAGGTACTCACTGGAAAAATATGAATGTTGGTACTGGTAAGGCATGTATTTCTTCTTCTTTCTGCCAAGCTGTAGATGGAGAACAGAACACAAAAATTAAACTTGGGGGTCAAATAAACACCAGTAAGAACTGTAAACTTCCATCCTTCGCAATTTAATGAAAAAATAGTGATGTAACCTAGACAATGATAGTGTTATGTATGCGGACCACCACCAGGGGTCCGCGGCTACAGTCAGGAGCTAGCTCCTCTAAATGATAGGAACCTAGGATCCTAGTTCCACCAGCATTCACCAATAGCAACTTTGGCAGGAAATTCAAGCCCTCCAACGGGACTGTGGGTGTGCTGGGTGGGTGTGTATATAGTTGGCCTTGCAGGGCTGTTTTTCCAGTTCCAGTGTGAAGTAAGATAAACATGTGCAAACGCATGTCGTTGTCCGAGTCCTCCATGTGGCGAACCCAGTACTTTCAAGATAGATAAAAACTAAGGTTAAGAAAGATATAGTTGCAAGAAGGCCTTAGGGTGTCCAAAAGCCAAATCTAATGATTTCCTTTGCCAAATGACAGGTTCTTCCTATGGAATTCAGTACAGGAAAGGACACCAATTTATCTGCCATAAAAGGGGTACAGAATTACTGTAAAGCACCAATATAAAACTAAGGGAGGGAATGGTTAATCTCCTCAGTGAGTGGTTCACCAATTGTGGGTTGGGACTCAGACTGCGACTCTCTTGGAGGTAGGTTGCAAGGCCAGGAGGGACAAGATGGTACAGAGTGAGTTGGGAGAGGAGTTTCTGGGAGGCTTGATGGCAAATTTTGTTTTGCTTTTGCATAGCGTAGAGAGGTAGTGCAACTCTGTTGATTCTCCTGGACCTCTCCGCAGATCACATGCCCCGGTCACACGCCAAAGTTGCAGCGGGAGAGGCATGGATGGTGGGCGGGTTTTCCGGGCACGATCACACCCCAACATCTGGGAAGTGAAGCGCACCTGTGGCTTACCACCAACAATGCGAGTTAAAAAACTAGTACCTCCAAGGTACTAGTAAACGTTTGCTACGGGCTGCCTCCAGACGCCCGTGGTGTGATCGCGCTGGCCTGCGGCATTCCCCTCTGGTCCCTCGTTTACCCGCCGGCGCCGAGGGAAGGACCTGTGGTGTGCCGCCGGCGCATCTGACCTCATAATCATGCATCAAACTGTGCCAGGGCAATTAGCCATGCCTCCCCCCCGTAATATCCAGCCCGTGTGACCGGGGCCACAGTGTCCTTATGTACTGCATTTTGAGGTTGGGACTGAGGCACCATATTGTGGTGGTTTTGGTCCTACCTTAAAGGTAGGTTTCAAAGGGTGGTCTGGGTGCTGGCTACTGCTCAGCTCAGTCCTTTGGCCACTGTCCTATGGGGTCCTACAAAGTTTCATCTTACCTCCATGCTTTTCAGCATCTACATGAAATCACTGGGAAAGGTCATCCAGATATTTGGGCTGAGTTGCCACCGATAGACAGGTGACACTCACCTCTGTCTTGTGCTTCCAGTGAATCTCAGGGAGGTTGTGGAGCTCTGAACAGGTGCCTGGAGGACGTTTTGGGCATGAATCAGGGTGTCTCTCTCTTTTGGCACAGGGAAGGAGCCCAGGGCTGTGTTGTCCTCAAGGGTGCCACTTTGCCCTGGACAGTACCCTGGGAAAGAATTGCGGGGGGGGGGGGGGGGTCTTCCAGCCAGCTCCCTCTCCTATGGTTGCCAACCTCCAGGTGGAACCTGGAGATCTCCTGCTATTACAATTGCTCTCCAGATGACCAACAACAGTTCCCCAGGAGAAAATGGCTGCTTTGGAGGGTGGACTGTATGGCGTTAGACCCTGCTGAGGTCTCTCCCCTCCCCAAACCTCACCCTCCCCAAGCTCCACCCCCGAAATCTCCAGGTATTTCTCAACTCATAGCTGGCAACCTTACCCTCTCCCCTGCACATATCAGTCCTCTTCCCTGCAACTTGGGAAGTGGCCTCGCACTTGCTCCATGGCTCTGTCCTAGACTGCCTATTAAAGGTCTCCCTGGGGGTGGGATAACCCCAGACTCTTCTTTTCTAGGGGCTGGGCCTTCCAGGGTGACTACTTCTGGGGGGCAATGGGGTTCCTATGTGGGTGGCTCCTCCCCTTGCTCTGTCCCTCTTTTCCTCCTCATGAGCCAGAGCTCCAGGCTCAGCTGAGCCCAAGGAGGCTGAGGCTGCCTGCCTTCTTCTCTGCCCTTCCTCCTGACATACCTGGGGCTGGGTGCCTGGCAGCTGTACATTCCTGTGATTGTTGCCACTTCCCCAGTGTCTACAAATCTTCAAGATGTGCCAGGAGATCACTCCTGGAGCTCCCTACTGGCTGCTGCACTGAGCCTCACTGGCTGCTGCAGACTGACAACTCCCCCAACGCCACATTTTTCACCATCTGCTGTGTCATGGGGCTCCAAACCAGCCTGGGCTGTGTTGCACCCTGCTCCAGCCCTGACCTCCATCATCTCCCATGTCCAAGTGGTCCAAGGACTGATCCCCTCAGCCATGGTAAGTGTGGTGTGCGTGCGTGTGGTCCTAGACAGAGGACCAATAAATAAATAGAAGGGGAGGTGCTACTGGTGTCCAGAAGGACTAGCTTGGGATTTGAGGTGTCTCCTGTTCTAGAGGTTGCACTGCCCCTAAAAGATCAGGTTTGCATGCTGGGGGTGCTGCTGGAACAGGGCCTTTTGTTGGATAAACAGATAGCAGTGATGGCTAGGGGCCCCTTTCACCAGCTCCAACTGGTGAGCCAGCAGTGGCCTTTCTTGAGTAAAAAAGATGTTGTTGTCACTGTGTCACTAGATTACTGCAATGCACTCTATAGTTTCAATCTTTGTTACTGAGTTATTGATTAGATCCGCACAGTACTTTATAATTTTATAATGACTGTATTGTATTGTTTTAATTTTATTGTTTTAAAATGGTTTTAATTGTTATTGGTATATTGTATGAACATTGATGGAACCTGCCCTGAGCCTGCTTGCAGGGAGGGTGGGATACAAGCCCAATAAAGTAAAATAAAATAAATAGATTCTAGTAAGTGCTGACCTTGGAGGATGTCCAGAAGCTATAGTTGGTATAGAATGCAATGGCAAGAATGCTGTTTGGAGTGGATTGGAGTCTTGTTCCGTATGCACTGGCTTCCGATCTGCTTCTGGGTCCAAAATCAAGGTGCCCTATAGGGCCTGGGACTTGCCTACATTAAGGATCACCTGGTCCCATGCAAACTTACCCAGCTACTTTCAGAGGACCCCATCATCTGACACTAGATGGGTGGCACCAAAATCATGGAATTCCCTCCCCAGGGAGATGTGTCTACCCAACTCAATCATTGTCTTCAGCCAGCAGTTCAAGACTTTTCTGTTTTATCTGGCATACCCTTACTGACCCTCCTTCTTGTTTGTTTTTAATTGTTGGTTTTATTTATATGTACTGTTTATTCTCTTTTTAAGTGTTCACTGCCTTGAGAACCTTAATTGAGAAGAAAGATGGTGTACAGATGTTTAATAACAAATGTGCATAATAACATACAATATTAATAAATACCAAACAAATGAAAAATGAAGTATGCATTTCAGTGTTTGAAATATAAGATTCTTGAATTTTAATCATGGTGAGGGAGAACAGTGTGGAATTAGTTTGCAAGTAGGTCCAGAATAGTAGAACAGATTTATAAGTGGCTCCCACGTCAAAAATTTTGAGAACCACTTTTTCAATAAAAGTTCTTCCTACTACCACCTCTACTATTTCAGAGGAATGTACCAGCATGCAATCTCAAAGGTCTTATTTAGGAGACAAGAGGCTATAGCTACTCATGACCATCTGCAGTCCAAGTCCCTACCGTCTTACCTCCACAGAAAGTGGCTTCCCCAAGGTGAACAGGAAAGGGTGCATGTTGAGATCAGGGTCTTTACGGAAGCAGTTGGGTTTGGCATGATGCTGGTTATGCATGAAGTTCCATTGACTTGGTGGCCCACCCTGAATATCCAATGAAAATAGACTTTGTTTATTCATGGAATGAGTTATAGCATGTATCTTTCCTCCAGCATACAGAGTTGCAGTAGTAGTATAAGGCTGCGGTCACACGCGCCAGTTGGAGTGGAGGGGAAGCGAGGGTATTCCCTCTGGAGGAATTTGACACACAGTTGCAAGATCACACCTCTTTTTGTAGCTGCGGGCACAGCCCGTCACTGTGTGATCAGATGCAACTGTGGGTGAGTAATTTTTTTGCCATTTATTTCCCTTGCACATAAACAAGGAATCGCACCTCAGTACTGAGGGCCCCCTATGGAGTATGCGGTGATGTGCATACTGCAGGGGGGGGGGACCAACAATACCAAGCCGGGATGGCCTGATCAGACCATCCTGATGGCTTGAGAGCATGCTTGAGCAATCAGACAGGGGAAAGTCCATCCGTGGTCCATTGGAACCCGTTTACTACTGGACTTTCCCCAGTGTCTTTTAACTCCACTTCCATAGTGGAGCAGCACGGGTTGCCAATGACTACGGGATGTTTCCCAGATGTTGCTGTCTGATCTCTCCCTTTAGGTTCATCAGGCATTTGCATCTATGTCAGGTCTAAAGGTGCTTGTGATCGCAGCCTAATTCTATTTGTTCTATAACCAGCACAAATACCTATATCAAAACCATAGCAACCCTATAGATGCCACCATACATAGAACTTCAAGGAATCAACCATCCTGTCTATAACATTTATGGCAGCATACAGAGTACATAGAGATAAATCTATTTATATAAACTTGTTCAACTTTGAGTAGGATTCTGGTAGGATGGATAAAAAGACTCAGGTGTTTTCTCTCTATTCCATTTTCTCTCTCTTGCTTCCTTGTCCTTCTAACAATTTTGAAGCATTTGAAGAAATTGACCTGAAAGTCTTGGATGGAGGATAATGAATATTCTTTTGCTTCATTTTGAAGTAACCAAATTGTCAATTAGGGACAATGCTGTATGGCATGAACATGGGATAAATGGCGTGCCTCTTAGGCACACAGTCTCCTGAGTCACTCTTTTCTCCTGCTGCACCTCCTCTGTTCCCTGCAGCCCTAAGGAAATAGAAACTTTAGCATAGAGAAAAGGGAAACTGAAAGTCATCACAAAACTGCTCTGCGTTTAATAGGAGAGGGAAGCAAAAGAAGCAGAGAGAGAGAGAGACAGAGAGAGACAAAGAGACAGAGAGCGAGAGAGAGAACTTGTCACATCTAAAGAGGATTAGACCCAACAATTCTAGCCAGAAGGGTATTTTCCTCTCCTTTTCTCAGCTGAGCTACTTCCTGATGGACCAGCCTCTCTGGAGTTATCACCTGCTGACCTTGGACAAACCATTATTCTCTATTTCAGCCTCCCTGACCGGCAACACACACCGCTCAGGCTCCACTGGACTGTTTTTGATTGCTAGCTATTGGGGGGGGGATGTGCAGATCTGTTCTCGCAGAGGAGGGACAGCTTGTACCTAAATAGAACTTGCTCTTAAACGTGCCACTGGACTGTGTTGAACCGGGGGGCCAGGGGGGAGCTCTGCAATTTACCTGGCTGCTTCTTGCTCTGACTGAGGGCTGCTGGGAGCAGGGGGTGGGGCTTGTTGCATGTGCCCGCCCCCTGGGCTCTTTACTACCGGAGCTTCGCTCCTGTGCACTCCTGCAGGAAATGACCCCTGGATACTGCATAAAAAAGCTACTGCTACACTTACTTGACAAAAACTATCACAGTATAGGATCCTTACCTTAAGTACTCCTACCACAAAGAAATGAAACAGTCTATTCCACTTGGGCTTCTGAAAGACTGAAAAGTGTCCAAGATCATGCTGGAAAAATCCATATTGGACCTGGAATGTAATAAGCCATGCCAGTACAATTAATTTCAACACATTGTAAGGACTAATTGCTAAATTAAATGTAATAAAGATTTACATAAGGACATTCCTAAACATGACTTCCGGTTTTCGGCATGGTGAAGGCAGACAGCCCCGGGAGAGCTCCCGTGAAGCTACCTGGATTGCTGGGTTTGGAGGGGGTTTAAACACCTTCAGAGCCCCCATGGATCTCCCTGTAGAGGAAACCAAGCAAGGGCCTTGATCTTGGACTCTCCACAAGCGGCAGCAAGTGGATTGAGTCCGAGATCAGCTTGAAGCCCAAACCTGTGCGAGAGCACCTATGGACTCCATAGCTGCAGAGCCGTGAATCATCGGGACAAAGGGAACAAAATCACCCCATACAGAACTTTAAAAGAAACTCTACCACCGTGAGTACTATTAAAGCATTGAATTCAGAAAAGACTCTCCATTTTGATATAGTCCTTTAAGAGAGGAGGTCAAAAGAAAAAGGGGAGGCAAAGGCTGAAAAAATTGTTGATACCTGGAATTAAAACTTTTTAACAGACTCATATAACTCTTCAAATATAATTTGATGCTTGGTGAACCAGTAGATTATAATTTTAAACCCCACTTGGAATTATAATTTGGTTTTCTTTGGATTATTCATGAAGATACCCTAAAGGATTATATATTTACATTAAGTTACTTTAAAGGATTATAAATTTTTATAACCATTTATTTGGATTACAAATTAAAGACAAAGAAGAAAGGAGGAGCCTGTAAATTGAATGGAACTTACTTTCACTTTCCATACATCATTTCCACAGAGGTTATGTTTTTAATTTGGAACTGTTATGTCTTTGCATGTTGTTATTACAAAAGTACAATCTGTTCTTGAGAGAAATGTAAACTGTTGATAATTTGTTTGAGGCTATACTGAGAGTATTTGTAAGAAATAAAAAAAGGAGGTTAAACTTAAGATATTGACTGAGAGGGGACCTGTGAATATTAACAGATTCTTTGGTTTTGATGGTGTTTAATGTGCAGTAATTTAAAATATAGTAAATAATATTGTTAATAATATGATGAATAAAAAAAAACCCCTCCTTCTGGTCCTTCTCCTGGCCAACCTAAGCCAGTAGCTGCCAGTTTGACACAGATTTCAGCAAAGGAATTACAAATCTTAATACAAGAAGCTGTGACAACAGCTGTCAATCCCATGCAAATTCAACTAGATACACTCTCACAACAAATGGTACATCAGATGGCAGAAGTACAAAACCAACTCAAAGAAAATAGAAAAGAAATTTCTTCCTTGGCCCAAACTGTTAATCAAATGGAGGACAAATCTGAAAAGGTACAGCTCAAAGTAAAAACTGTGGAATCTAAGCAAAATTTCATGGAAGAAGCTCTTACTAAATTAGATTGATAAGGCAGCATATATTTTGAGATTTCAAAATATTCCAGAAAAACAAGATGAGCAGCTGAAATATGAAATGGCACAAATATTGGCTATATGGAAGCAGAAAACACAGATGAACTATATAATGAAACTGATGTTACTTATAGAATGAATTTGGCATATGCAAGGAGAAATAAACTTCCAAGAGAAGTGCACATGAGATTCCATAAAAGGCCAATAAGAGATGAAATTCTGAAAGCAACAAATGAAAAACCCTTACAAATAGAAGAAACAGAAATTAAGATTTTAAAGGAAATTCCATGGAGAGTGAAAGAGAAGGGAATATATAGAGTTTAGAAATATTCTTAGAAAGAATGGAATCACGTGTAGATGGCTACTTTCAGAATGCATTTTTTTCACTTCTAAAGAGAAACTATACAAAATCAACTCAATTTTTAAAGCAGAAGAATTTTTAAAAACATACGCCAGAGAACTGGAAGTTGAGGAAGAAGAAATAGAAACTACAGAGGAGGACCAGCAAGAAACACAAGGAGTAACTGGAGGAAATGGAAAAACTACAAAAATTAGAAAAACTGGAAAGACCACAACACCCCAGATGGTTACAAGACTTCAACTGAAGAATAAAGATGACAATAAAACTCAGACCAATGATGTATAGAAGAAAAATAAAGATAGTCTCAACAAATGTTAATGAACTGAATGCACCTCAAAAAAGAAGACAGATTTTTCAACAATTTAAAAAGATGCAACTGGATGTGATATGCCTACAAGAGACCCATATAAAATACTCTGCCCAAAAATATTTGGAGAACAAAAAACTTGGAAAAAACTTCATTTCCTCAGACAAAGAAAAAAAAAGAGAGGCGTAGTGACATATGTTAAAGAACATTTGCATCCAGAATTAGTCTACAGCTCTGAAGATGATAAAATCTTGATAGTTCAAATACAAAGACAAAGTAAAACAACCTTAATTATAAATATATATGCTCCCAACCAACATTAAGAAATTAAAAAAAATATATTACAAGAATTTATCTCAAAACAAAACTATGATGAAATGTGCCTGAATGATGATTCCAATGCTGTCTTTGATAAGTTTTTAGATAGAAAAACAATAACTGGAAAACAGAAACAAGATAATGAACTTCCAAACACATTCTTACAATTGGCAGAAGAACATAATCTTTTTTTTTTGGTAAACAAATTTTTATTATTTTCCATAAGAGTTTTACAGTTAACCATTTCCAATTTTCCATTATTCACCTATATCCATTTCCTCCCCTCCCTCCTGTGGCTTCCCGCAATGCTTCCCCCTTACCCTCCACATTATTGTATATCATCGATTATATCATTTTTCTTATCATTACAGTTTTAAGATAACCTCATTTAGCCTAATATTGATCTAAACATATTAAATTTTGTTTCACATCCCAGTTCTTTTCCAGATAAATTTTAAAGTCATTCCATTCTTCAAAAAATACGTTGTCTTCTTTGCCTTTCAACTTTTTTGTGATTTTGTCCATTTCAGCCATGAACAGAACTTTTTGTATCCAATCTTCAATCTCTGGTACTTTCTCTGTTTTCCAAAATTGTGCATACAACATTCTCGCTGTTGTTATTAAGTACCAAAGTAAAGTCTTTTTAGTCGTGTTCACTTCTTCTATTTTAAGACCCAAAAGCAGAATTTCGGGTGCTTTTTTAAAAGAGCATTTCAATATTTTTTGCATTTCATTGTGGACTTTTGTCCAAAAGTCTGCAGCTTTTTCACAAGTCCACCACATATGGTAAAATGAGCCATCATGACTCTTACATTTCATCAGCGGCGTTCAAATCTTGAACATGTTCCAAAACAGGTCTTCCAGCTGTGTCATCGTTGATTTATAAAACTGAGGGACAAGGACACTTGGGTGGTGGAAAGTGCCACGGAGTCGCAACAGATTGATGGTGACCCCCGTGGGGTTTTGAAGGCAAGAAGCAGACGGGAGATAGTTTGCCACTGCTTGTCTCTTTGCCGCAACCCTGGGCTTCCTTGGTAGTCTCCCATCCAAGTACTAACCAGGGTCAACCTTCCTTAGCTTCTGAGTCCTGACATGATCTAGCTGACCTGGGCTATCCAGATCAGGGCTGTAGGACACTTTGCAAAGGAGCGTATGTGCAGTTACAGAGAGTAAATTCGATTTGAGTTGGGTTGAGAACAAAATTGATGTCAGGAATTTCTCTCCAACTAAGGGCGAGAGAGCGGGAGAGAGGAAAGAGGCAGCCAACCCTCCCTCTAAGCTGTGGAGTCTTGTGAGCAAAAATTCTACTTTGTGAGCTCCTGGCATTCAAGTGGTGAGTGAGTGAGTTGTGAGCTGTGAGTAAAATTGTGAGTGAGTTGTGAGTAAAGTTGTGAGCTGTGGAGTCTTGTGAGCAAAAATTCTACTTTGTGAGCTCCTGGCATTCAAGTGGTGAGCGAGTGAGTTGTGAGCTGTGAGTAAAGTTGTGAGCTGTCTTGTGAGCAAAAAATGCTACTTTGTGAGCTCCTGGCATTCAAGTTGTGAGCGAGTGAGTTGTGAGCTGTGGAGTCTTGTGAGCAAAAATTCTACTTTGTGAGCTCCTGGCATTCAAGTTGTGAGCGAGTGAGTTGTGAGCTGTGAGTAAAATTGTGAGTGAGTTGAGAGTAAAGTTGTGAGCGGTGGAGTCTTGTGAGCAAAAATTCTGCTTTGTGAGCTGCTGGCATTCAAGTTGTGAGCGAGCGATTTGGCGACTGCGTACATTAGTTTGCTTTGGAGCCGTCCTTTCCTGA